GCTTTTAGCTATATTCATGTTGAGTGATTAGAGTTTTCAACTTGTTTTGGCCTATGTCAGCGATAAACTGTCACGTTTGGACTCTCCAAATCAATAGAAATGTAGGTAATAAATTGGCCAACCTGTCAAAATGGATGTACAGTAGGTTGCTGACCAAATTTTAGCCGAGGTACACAGAGCTTGTGTCACCAAATGCGTTAGAGTTGATAACATAACACGGGATTATCTGTGAACACTCCGACGGGGTCCGCGTGGAAGTAAATTTTCTCTGTTGATTTCATCTGCTGCACACATTTCGGTGGATTTCTGAGTTAAGGTCACTGGCTGTATGAAGTTACTAAATGTCCATAGTTCCTCATTTGAACTGTGTTGGTGCACATCGCTGTTCTGAGTTACCAGTTTCCGATCCACAGCCTTTACTCCGTAATGTTCCAGTGTGTTTTACTGCATGGTGTTTCAACGATCGTATATCTAGTTCGATCCAACATCTTTCTCCTTGTGGTGCTTTGGGTTAATTTATTTCAACATACCTTCGAATGTATCTCAAAGTCTCGTGACAAAATTCAAACAACGAATGAGTTCTTGTGTTACCAGTGCCTCATTATATCGTCTCATATCAGTTCCGAGACAAAATTGGATGGCGAACGGACCAAAATGCGGACACTAAGCATTGGTCTTTGAATGTCAGCAAACTGGAATTCAAAACTGCTGAAAGGAAGAAACACTAGTCACATTTGACACAAGCTGTCATTAGTGCGAACTGTGACGATTTCGCATAAAGCTTGTAGACAGAAGTGGCAGATAGAGCCACACAGGGGCCACCTTACAAGAGGCGAAATTTTTGGATTGCAAAAGAATACCTATGGATGAGTGTGCATAGTGTGTGAGGATTCAGCAGATCTAACGGTGATATTTCGTTTGCATAAAGCCACATTGCCGAATGAGTTCAAGTGTGATATTATTACCCTGTAAAGCTAAGTTCAGACGGTTGTTTCCTGTAAAACATGCGTCTCGTAATTTGAGAGTAGTAAGTTCACATTTAGAAAATACGAACGAAAGGAACCAGAGAAGCGAAGGATGTACTCCACTATAGTGTTCCTAATTAGATTTAGTGCAAAAGACAGATTATCACTTCATGACTCGACCTTGGTGAGCTAATCGTTCACCCGTAGTTCGGACCGGCAGCACAAATTGACCTATACCACAAGAGTCCAAAACTGTATACAACCAGAAATGAAGGAAGCCCACAGACCGCGTAGTTTCCTCCAACCTGTCGCATAAAGCATCAAGACATCGTTTAATATGGTTTCTCTTGTGGCTCTCCGGAACATGCTCATCGATTCCTTCACGCACTTTGTTTCTGTCCAGTAGACGTAACACTCTACTCATAAGGTTGCCGAAGACTCCGACAGCTCATAACCGGTTTCACTCTTCGTGGGGCTCATCAGGTAGGCGCAACCCCTGAGTCCCCTCCCCGTCAACGTTATGTTCTCTCTGCACCCGAATTGCACGAAATTCGACAAATGTGCATATTTACTTGCTTATTCGGCTTTTACATCTGTCTCTCCTTTATTGTGCTTTTCAGCTGAGTGTTTTTGTGCCGCTTTCATAGGCCTCCGAAATGTTAACACCTTGGCTTTATTCTCGAAGACAGATCCTTATGGCGTTCACTCTGTTCCCTGGAATTCATTGTCCTATTGTTTGTACCATCCTTTTACCAATCCTAATTTTTAAGCCTAGCAAACACGCGTGAGTCATTTACTCACGCATATGTACTTGCGGATAAGACGAGCGAAATTTTCGGACTATGGCGGATGTGTACCTCTTCCCCAACGTGTAGTGAGTATGTTTTTGCCTGTAACTCCTGTAAAGCTGTAGTAGATGGAACCAAAGGTATGCCCGTCTGCCAACAGGCAGATCAGATGTCGAACGTGCCAAGCGGTAGCCGATGATTCCGGAGTCTGGCCAAAAAACTGTTGTAACCCTCACTCTGCGCCTATTCGACTCCCATGACACCCACAAAACCTACATCCGTCTATTCCCCATCACCAGTTCGTGTCCCTTCACATCAAGTCACCACGAGAGATGTTCACCTCGGTTCTTCTGATCTGGACACCTTGCAAGCCATCTAGCCCTTAAGGTATCCTCCAGTTATGTTCCGAAATTGCGTTTTAGCACTCCATCCAAAACGTTCAATTTCTTAGGATGTTTCTTTGTCGTCCTGGGAGACATTACATGTTTCATCCATTCAGGAACGCGGTTATCCATCTGACTCAAATTTTGGATATTCCAATGCTCTCCAGCATTATGAAGTTCATTCCTTCAAAACAGACCCTAAGCGGTCTTGAAAACAGTACGCTCAGCGATCACGGTGGGTTCACATACCAGCATCCTACTGGTGACATGTTCGACTGTGGTCATCTCTCGGCACATTTGACGAAGCGACTGTCTTTTCTTCGAAAAGTCTCAGTGTCTATCATGCGAATCTCCTCGCAAAGCACCTCTTGTACGGTTCGCACTTCAAACTGCCCAGATGGAGTGAAAGTTTTTTAGTTGGCTGCCCTCCTCTGGCGTGCCTTAAGGGTGTTTTTTCTTTACGCCAATGACTTGTTCACCCCATTCATCCCTCCATTACCCTTTGTCCTGTCGTTCACAAGGTGCCGTCACTGATTATACGACGGACATTCACAAACCATTAAAGAATCGAACACCAGTCTCACCGCGATTCTTGAGTGCAGTATGTCGGCTGCGAATACGCTCAGCCTATCCAAACCCCTCTTTACATCCATCTCTCTGTTGATCCCGACATGCAACCTTCGACATGACCCACTGCCGTTTCATCTTTCTTGACATCATTTTTACCAGCAGCCCTTCCTGATCTGCTTATACCAAGCTGCGCATGACTCTTCCCTCTAGGAACGTTGATATTCTGTTTCGAGCTCGCGACTCCTTCAGCTCTTCGCAACCTGTTAAATCATATTTGGTGCACTCTGTAATAGTAGTGTCACGTTCGGACCGCGTTCCCTTTTTCTACGTTTCCCTGCGCGATTTTGTTGAAAACTGACCTGTTTACCTCCTTACCACCTACTCTGTGACATGCTGAAACTTAGCGTTAAGACGTGACTCGCTTTGCCCGTAAAATGCGCACCGCTAGTGACTGTCATTAGGCTGTTTTGTAACTTTTCAACATAACTTCACTTCCCTTTCGATATGAAATGTCAAATAAAAATTCACCACATCACTACTTCCAAACCGTAAGTTTTGTCATGTTTTGCGGCACTATTGTCTTACAGAACTCTTCTCGTATGTGGTGGCTCCAAAGGGGTAACCTACATGCATAAAATAAAGTCACTTAATCGTAGGCGATGGTTGGCTTATGACAGCTTTTTGCCTTGGTTTTGTGAGGATCGTGAAAACCTCATTAAAGGCCTTCACTTATTATCTATCTATCTCCTCATGTCTTTCTCTGCCACACTGGTTTGTCAGCAAGTGAGCTGTGCATGCAATCGGAACGTTGGATGCGTCGTTTTAACTAGCAATGTCTTGTATGGTTTTATCGTCTAGCTATTCCAAACACTATCGCTGGATCACCCTGGCGTGAACTGAATTTCATTTTCGCCGAATCCAAATCTGTGAAAGTGAACCGTGATGTACGGTTTAGGTAGTTTCACACAGTGGGACTGAAGCACCTTTGGTCGCCCAGCAGAGCTTGCGCTGAATCTATTGCTAAACGAAATGTTGTTGGTTGTCTTAGTTTTTCGGGCCGGTAATTTTCAGGTGCTTTTGTTCCAGAAGTAAAGATCCATACAAGTCCCGTTTGTAGCGTTCTGCTTACTGGTTTGAATACTGCTAACGATAACGGGAGGCATCACATAAACGTTCTGAATGCACAGTTTCTGTGCAAAGTCGAAGTGTCCTTCGACAGAAGCGAGATTTTGAAAAACACGTACCCAGTCACCAGTTATGGCTTATAGAGAGCATAAGCGGTTATTTTGTGTCGTTTAGCCAAACTAAACCACCAATCGGACAGTTCGCTTGTTATTTGTGTAACCGGGGCTAGTAAATCGACACAGGCGACTGCATGATGGACAAGTGACCATTTTGTCGTTATTAGCTTGTATGTACACAAAGAAATCGAACAGTGACCTTACTATAGATTCGTTTTCCACCCATTGAGCTGACTTTCTCCTCTGGTCTGCCAATCGCTGATTCTCAGAGTTCGATCAGTGAACCCGAGGAATGTACAATCATGCCTTTGGTATTGCACACCATTCAACTATCCCCGATTATGTTGCAAATGTATCGCCAACAGCTGGGACTATAACTCATTTTCATTTTTCTAGCGAAGATGTGGTATTTCACAGCGCGATCGCTCTCGTCCATCACATAGACCTGATTATAAAAGCACTCTGCCAGACGGATTGACGGTGCGCTGACCAGTCCGACACTTATGTTGCCGATTCGGAATACGGGGAAGTTAATGGTTACCAATCGGAATTCAGTCGACATGGGACTCAAGCTGTTGGCTCCTTCACCCGTCAATCACAGTCGGTGTCATACGGACTGGTCCCCGCTGAATCATCATCAACCGTAAACTCAAAGTGCTTGCTATCGTTCAGTGGTGTTCCTGGTTCATGTAACCTCCCTACTACCATCTCTCGATTCCGTCATAAAACGTTTTTCGCGTGTGTTCTGGCCTTCACCATGTTGCCAGTTGCATTGCTGATCTACCTTTCCAACAAACCCAATCAGTCTTGGACTTTTGATCCATTGTCTTGTGTGGTTCGCCTATTTGGACGCTGATTTACCATTTCCAAACAACTGCGCACGAACCCTGCCCAATCATTTAGCATTTCTTTGATGGTCACCGATTCGACTAGTCTTTGTATTTAGCTTTGGATTTGAATTTTTTTCGTGGTCAGTTATTTTATGCTGAATTGTTATTTGACCATTTCTTAACACGTCGGAGAATCCACTCTCTTGCAATATTTTCCTTACAGCCACCTTGTCGAGGAACCGCTATCGGAACAATACCATGAGAAAAACAATTTCGCGGTGAACTCATTTCGTGCGCCGCAGAACATGAGACAAAGGGTAGAACACTCAGAATAAATTGGAGCTACAATGCGCTTATTAAATAGACCTGACTTAACGTGGCACTTTCAAGCAAACCATGGTAATCTCGGTCACGCCAAAGTCCTTCCGAGCGCATAGAGCTGACTTCGGTCGATTAGCAAATATTACCGCGAGCAATTTCAGTCCCTGTACGATTTTACCTCGCAGTGACCTGGAACGATGAGTTCATGTCACCGTCATACCTGCCTACAGTCAATCGCTTCGTGATCAAGGACACGTTTTACCAAGTTAGTGTCGACAAATATTGCCTGGCGGGCATCTCAGATCCTTTATCATTCTGACGATGTAGGCTTCATCGCATTTGCGGGTGAGTTGGACGATACAATAGCAAATGCATAAAGGCGCGTTCTGGTGGGTGGCAGCAGAACTATTGTTGTGTACTTGCACGGCATAACATATCCTAATGTCTTTTCCAGCAGGTGTGATCTACCACCACCAATGTCCGAGGAAATCCGGCTTCTTTGGGGCAATCATCTGTGGGGCCAGCTTATCACCAGTTCTCAAGTGCTCTTTGGTGAATCGATCCGTATAATTGCTCGAGCGCAATGCACTTTTCAGCAGCCGAATGTCATTCAGTGCATGTAGCCTGTGCAATAGTACATAGCAGTAAGGGCTGGGCAGAAAGTGTGAAGATACTGTTCTGCCAAGTAGGTTTACAAGACACAGGACATGACATTGAACCATCCGGGTTTCGTTGGAATCAAATATCAAAAGGTGAATTAATTCGGCCAAACTCATTGATAAAATTAGCGTTTTAGGAGTGTTCATCAAAAACAGGTTTCCAACGGGCTGCTTGTTTTTGGCAGTCATCATCCAAACGTCTAGACGGAACGTTATTCGTAAAGTTGCTGAAAACTCGGAACCGGTTCCGATCTTTTTGGGGCTCAGCAGGTAGACAGTATTCCTGAGTTTCTCTCTATTTGAAATCAAATTGGAGGCTAATAGCGAGAAATACATTCACCTGAAGAACATCATAAACGAAGCATTTGGTTGGATTCTGTTGGGTTTTCTGTTAGAACCAGTTAAGTGTGCGATTATAGTTCACGAATCGTCCAGACGTTTTCTGTAAAGTGGAATGGCCTGGATACCGGCCTGCACCTCGCTGTAGCCTGAACATGACGCTTTTGGCCCGAGAGCATTTCACGGACTGCAGCTCTTCTCCAGTTCGCATATAAGTTTGTCCTAGATGGCTAGTCTTTATGATAAGTGCAGTGTGCCGCATGATTGGTCATACACAAGAAACAATGTTGTGGCAATCCTTGATAGGATGATCGGTCGGTCGAACAACCTTTGATCAATCAACTCGTGTAAATCCAAACATCTCCCGGAGGAAGTCGCACTCGAAACGCTGAGTTAATAATTTGCTCTTAACATTGTTTCTCAACCAACAAACAACCAAAATAACTCACTAATAATCAATTTTGCCCCGTCCGTACTGAATACGGTGTGGGTATTCAAGACAGTATTTGCAATTTACTCTGATCATTTAACATTTTTACTCTACTTTGGTACCAATGGGTTTGCGCATTTGCGGGCATTCCGAGTGTTAAACTAAGCGGTCCCTGAGATAGCCAGATATGATTTATGCCGTAGTTCTCACAAGGCACCTGAGCGAGTGAGTTCGAATGTTTTTATCAGTAGAAACAGTGGATGACTTCGTCAAGATCATATCCATTTTTCTCTAAAGCGTAGTTGTCAATGCTTACCAGAGGATCTATCGCACAAGCTGTTTGTCGCCATTTTCCCAAGATGTGTTCTGCGAAAACATTCACGATCCCTGTGTGGGAATACACGTTTAACGGACTTACCTACATCAGCTGGCAATGACTGCTTTAGTGTACATGTGCCGGTGCTTTTCACTCCCAAGTAGAATACACACCGAAACGAAATGGTTACCAGTGTTCGATCACGAGACGCAATCGGTGGTAATTGAAACCGCATGAAACAACACCTGAAGAGACCTGTCAACTTACAGAAATCTCACGGAGTTTGACAACCCATAATTGGGATGCCTTCTTACATCCATCAAGCAATTATGGATTTACGAAATATAGCGAGCCTCTGCCATGCACTCCCACAATTTCCTAACTTTGCAGTGAAACACGATCTGAAGAATAAATTCGAACCGGACGCTATGATACCTGAACATTAACGCGCCTTCCCAACAACTTGCCCGTGTCACAGTTCCACTCTGTTCAGTAATTTTGCAAAAAGCTGCCATGAGATCCCTCCTGGACGAAAAATGGTAGTGGTAAATCTCAACACTTCGATTTCAGATATCTCACTCCAGTAATCTGTTGACAATACACAGATCCAGTGTTCCGGTGGTCCAGGTTGCCTGGAAGTATATTTTGGCAAGTGCCAAAGCATTTGTCAGTTTAACTGCATTCTGTACGGGCCGGAAAATCAGGATAGGTTCGTTTACGTAACTATCAGAAATACCGGTAGTTTTCACTGTGCTCAAAGATGTGGAGTGAGTTCTATGCTTTGAAAGGGATGAGGCCCCGCATGATGAGCAAATTACAAACCTCCAGAGATGTTCTTCGAAGCTCGGTTGGGTTGTTCGAAAACAACTAAAGTGGAGCACTGTTATGGTGAATGCCATAGAGCTCGGTAGTTTTTCATCAGGAAACATCGAATATACCTCGTCATTGGATCAAGATACGCATTTTTATCGAAGCAGCAATCTATTATACGTCAGTGGTGTTGAATACGAGTAATACGGTCGGCTTTCGGCGAGCCGGTTATTTCC